GGGGAGGAGGATGAGGAGAGGGGACGGTGGGTGCTGGGAATGCCGGGGCTGGCAGATAGATAGCAAAGGGGTGTCCCGGCTGGCGGGTGAGTTTTGGAGCGGGGATCTGGGGTCAGAGGGTGGGGAAAAAGGGAAGGAGGAAAGGAGGGGATGGGAACAGGGAAGCAGAGGACGGGGATCACGGAACGGAGGGGACCAGGAAGGGAGTGAATAAGGACCGGGGAAGGAGGGGACAAGGACCGGGGAAGGCGGGGACAAGGACAAGGGAAGAAGGGACGGGGACCACGAGGGGATGGGGACATGGGAAGGAGGGATAGGGACAGGGAAGAAGGGATGCCAGCAGAACTATCTGGACCACAAATCCTATCTTGGGGGTCCCCCGTGAGGATCCCTGGGGACGGGCCCCTGCCGCCAGCCCCCTCCTGGGCGTGGCAATCCCTGTGGGACACTCGGTAATTCCCATTCCCAGGTGCGCCATGGTGGAGGTGACAGTGACACCGCAGTCCTCGCTGGCCGACCGGCCGGTGCAGATCCGGGTGCGGGGACTGTCCCCGTCCCAACTTGTCACCCTCCGGGCATGGCTGAAGGACGAGCAGGGCGAGCGCTTCCAATCCCGTGCCTTTTTCCGCGCTGACGGAGCGGGAGAGGTGGATCCCGGGCTCCATGCCGCCCTGGGGGGCAGCTACTCTGGGGTCTGGCCCATGGGGCTCTTCTGGTTCCTGCAGCCCGACACCCTTTTCCGACGGCTGGTCAAGCGGGATGTGGCCGGCAGCCCCTTCCGCGTCCGGCTGGAAGTGTTGGATGGGCTCTGCTTGGGCACGGACCCCCGGGAGCAGCCGCTGGGATGCTGCGAGGCCGAGCGGTGGTACGTGGGCCCCGGAGTGCAGCGGGTGCCCATCCGTGAGGGAAGGGTCCGTGGCGCCCTATTCCTGCCTCCTGGTGAGCACTGGGGAGCGGGGAATTCCGGGATATCAAACCTTGGGGCTTGCAGGATGCTCGTTCCTGGGAGCCCTGGGATACCCAGAGAGTATTCCCTTGGGATACTGAACCTTGGGATCCTGGGGATGTCAAGCATTGGGACCCCTGGGAAACAACACTGGGACTCCTGGGATGCTAAACCACAGAATTCCTGGGTTTTTGTCCAGTCCTGGGACCCCTGGGATTCCCAAAGTTAGGGTCTCTGGAAGCCCAGCCTTGGGATCCTTGAGATACCAGACCTCAGGATCTTGGGATGCCCAGCCTCAGGACCCCATGGATACTGGACCTTGTGCCCCTGGGATGGAGGACAGCACAGGTGGCTCCCTATCCCTGACATTCTTCCTGTCTTCCCACAGGTCCAGGCCCCTTCCCTGGGGTCATCGACATGTTTGGGGGTGCAGGGGGGCTGATCGAGTTCCGGGCAGGGCTCCTGGCCAGCCAGGGCTTTGCCGTGCTGGCCCTCGCCTTCTTCGCCTACGATGACCTGCCCCGAGTCCTGGCCCAGCTGGACCTGGAATATTTTGAGGAAGCGGCAGAGCTGCTCCTCCAGCATCCCAAGGTGAATCCCGGAGCGTGAAGGAAGGCACCTGTGAGCCAGGATGTGCTGGGGATTGGGGACAGCCTGGTGAGCCAGACATCCAGGTGGCCTGGGATTGTCCTGGGGACATCCTCATCCTGGTGAGCAGGACATCCTGGTGACTGGGGTAATGTCCCAGGGTTGTGCCCAGCACCAGGAAAGTCACAGGTACTGGGGATATCTCAGTGAGTGGGATGTCCTGGCAACTGGGGATATCCCATGAGGACATCCTTGTCCTGGCACCCAGGGATGTCCCAGTAAATCTGTTATCCCTGTGTGTTATCCCAGCTGGCTCCATTTCCTCTTGCTTCAGGTCCGAGGCCCCGGCCTGGGCGTGGTGGGCGTCTCCAAAGGTGCAGAGGTGGCCTTGGCCATGGCCACCTTCCTGCCCCAGGTGGTGGCCACGGTGTGGATCAACGGTACGACCTTCCTTTATGGAAACCCGCTGGTCTATAAGGAGCTCCGCATCCCTGCCATTCCCTACTACACTGAGCGCATCCTGTTCACCGAGGTGGGAGCCATAGACAACTCGGCCATCTTCACTGACCCCCGGGATCCCGCCTGCCGCGCCTCGGCCATCCCGGTGGAGAAGATCCGGGGAAAGGTGCTCTTTGTGGTGGGAGAGGCCGACCGCAGCTTCAACAGCAAGCTCTTTGCTGAGCTGGCCCTGGCGCGGATGCCGCCGGAGAGCGGCCGGATCCTGTCCTATCCCGGCGCCGGGCACCTGATCGAGCCCCCCGGATCCCCGCTGTGCAGCAACTCCAGCATCCGCGGTACTCCCAGGCCAGTGGCGTGGGGAGGAGAGCCCCAGCCCCATGCCCGAGCCCAGGAACATTCCTGGCAGGAGATCCTGCAATTCTTGGAGCTCCATCTGGGGTCGGTTGCCACCTCGAAGCTGTGAGGGGTGAGGAAAAGGGGTTGGGGTCACCAGGATTGTCACTGCAGGGAATAAAGTGTCACTGGTGGCTCCTGCCTGTGCTCCTGGGGGATGATGTGTGGGAAAAAGACTGGACACAGATGTAGGAGATACATCAGATATAGGATATATACTGGACATGTGGAATATAAATATTTGGTATATATCGGATATATATATTGGATGTATATATAGGATGTATATTGGATACATATGGAACATATATAGGACTCAGGACAGACAGCTCAGGCATGTATTGAACATACACAAAACATACATAGGACACGTATGGGGCACGTATAGAACATATATTGGCCATGTATCAGCCCAGCTGTGCCTCTGGACATACTGCTCTCTCTGCAGCTGCCCTCACTTCCTGAGGAGTTTTGAGGGAATCACATCCAGCCCCCAGCTCCTCACACCCTCCCACTGGCACCCCTGTGCTCCTGGGAGCTGGCATGACCCCATTCCCACGCCCAGGGCATGGGACAGGGAGTGGCTGTGACCGGCACTCCAGGCAGGTTGGGGAGGGGTGATGAGGTTTAATCTGCAGTGAAGATAAATCCCAGAAGGGGAGCCTGGGGAAAGGGAGGCAGAGGAAATGCACATGGAGGACTTTGGATTCCCTGTTGCACTGCTAGAAGGGTGCAGCAGGAATTCGGGGTAACTGGCCGATTCCCAGTCCCTCAGACACTGCTGGGGCAGTGCCACAGTGTCACCTGGTCCCATGGCTATTCCAGGAGTGGTGTGTCCAGATGTCACTGCTGTCCCCAGCAGCTCTGGGGAAGTGGGCACACACCTTTCTTCTCCTTTCCCCCTGCATAACTTGATCCAGCTGGGCATCCCGCCCGGCACCAGTTCCATTCCCTGTTCACTGGGACAGTCTCCAAGTGTGGGATAAGCTTGGTTTGTCCCTGGTCACCGTGACACAGCCACAGGAGGTGACCACAGGGCTGGGGCACTGAGGTCACCGGTGGCAAAGGAGCGAGGAGCCCTGGGCAGAGCTCATCCCACGGGATCAGCTGATCCTGATCCCCCCCCGCATGCCAGCCGTCTGGGTATAAATCCACGCTGCAGAGCCCCGCGCTCTGTCTGTGTTACTACCATGGGACGGAGCTGCTACTTCCTCCTGCTCCTCTTCCTCCTGTTCCCGTGGCCCAGAGCTACCCTGGCACTCCTGCAGTACCGCCACGACTGTGGAGAGTTGGGAATGCAGCTCCTGGTCTTCCCGCCCCATGGCCGCACCATCCGCTTCAAGGTTCTGGGTGAGTGGGGAACTCCCTGAATCCCTTTGGGGTGCTGGATTTCTCTGGGATTCTCCCCAAACCTGGAGTGTTCCCTGGTGGCGGTATCCCAATGGGATGAGCCCAATGGCTGGGATGAGCTGTTGCCGATGCCTGGGAGGTTTCCATGCACCTGGATGTGTCACTTCCCTGTGTCCATGGTGTCCCCTCAGATGAGTTTGGCTCCCGCTTTGACGTGGCCAACTGCTCCATCTGCCTCCACTGGCTGAATTCCAGGGAGGACGGTTCTGTCATCTTCTCCTCCGGCTACAAGGGCTGCCACGTCCTGTTCAAGGTGACGCTCCTGTCCCCTCCACGGTGCCCTCCAGCAGGATGGGGGTGACTGTCCCTCGTGTCTCCCTGCAGGAAAACCGCTACGTCCTGCGGGTGCAGCTGGAGGAGCTGCTGTCCAGCGGGATCCCAGCCACCTCCCACGAGGTCAACATGACCTGCCCCAAGCCAGGTGACTCTGAGATGCTCCCAGACGGAAAATGGGAACAGGGCCAGGACAGCAGAGTTATGATCTCCCACACTGGCCTGCACCAGATCTCTGAGTCCTCCCTTACCCTTTCAGCATCCCAGCTCACATCTCAAGATCGCTTGGAGCAGGTTCACACCGTGGGACATTACCCGCCCAGCTCAGTGCTTCCTGGCATCCAGCACCATTCCAATCCGGCTCACTTGGGGCTTCTGTCACAGCCTGATGGGGTTCATTCTGTCACCCAAATCCAGGAAAAACTCATCCACCAGGGAGTGCAGCCCCCCCAGCCCGGGGGACAAAGCCAGCCAGGGATTCTTCACCCAGTGCTTGTATCCCAAAACTATCCCAGTGTGGTGCATCCCGGGAGTCAGAGCCAGCCAGGGCACCTGCGTCCCAGCTTTGTATCCCAAAACCAGCCTGGGATGGTGTATCCTGGGGCTCAAAACCAACCAGCGGTTCGCCCAGGGTCTGTATCCCAAAACCATCCTGGGGGTCAAAACCAACCAGGGACTCGTCCCGGGTTTGTATCCCACAACCATCCTGGGGGTCAAAACCAACCGGGGCAGCTTCGTCCAGAGTTTGTATCTCAAATCCATCCTGGGGGTCAAAACCAACCAGGGACTCGTCCCGGGTTTGTATCCCACAACCATCCTGGGGGTCAAAACCAACCAGGGACTCGTCCAGGGTTTGTATCCCACAACCATCCTGGGGGTCAAAACCAACCAGGGACTCGTCCAGGGTTTGTGTCCCACAACCGTCCTGGGGGTCAAAACCAACCAGGGACTCATCCAGGGTTTGTATCCCACAACCAACCTGGGGGTCAAAACCAACCAGGGACTCGTCCAGGGTTTGTATCCCACAACCAACCTGGCTTGACCTCCACTGGTGCCCAGACCCCAGCAGGATTCCTGCGCCCGGGAGCTCAGCCTGCAAACCAGCCAGGAATATCTCGTCCCAGTTATCACTCCAACTCCCAAACTGGGTCCCAAGGCCACAATGGGCTGCTCCATCCTGGCCATCCCAGTCCAGCTTTTGTGCACCCAGGACTCTCATCCTGGCCAGGTTTCATCAGCCCTGGACTCCAGGCTCAGCCCCAGCCAGGCCTGGGACGCCCAGGGCTGCAGCCCCAGCCTGGATTGCTGCATCCTGGGATTCACTCCCAGCCCAGCCTGCTGCAGCCCACAGCGCTCTTCTACCCTTCGGCAGGGGCAGGTAAGGCAGGAAGATGGGGTGGAGGGATGCTGGGACAAAGAGAAACAGCCTCCAGGTGCTTTTCCAAGCCATGGTGGGACATGCTGTGTCTCCTCTCTGCTTCCCCCCAGGAATGCAGCTGACACGGGAGCAGTGCCAGGTGCCATTGGGCCGGATGCCGTGCGTGGCTCCACAGGGACGGGATGGATGTCTGCAGGCAGGATGCTGCTACGACGACATGGACCGTACCACACCCTGCTATTATGGGAATACCGGTAGGACACCCAGAGGCACATCCCAAAATCCCTTCCCAGCACCAGGAGAGGGTGCTCAGGGTGATGGAGCCTCTCTGTGGTATCACAGTCACGGTGCAGTGCCTGCTGGAGGGACACTTTGTCCTAGTGGTCCCACGGGGAATGGTGTCCTCGCCATACAACCTGGACAGCGTGCAGCTGGCCAGCAGCCAGGCGGGATGTGAGCCCCTCCACGTGTCTGAGGCCTTCGTCATGTTCCGCTTTCCCGTCACCCACTGCGGCACCACCATCCAGGTAGGGCGGGAAAACCCCGGAGAACCCCAGGTGGGCATGGTGGGGTCACTTCAGGATAGAAATGCCTCCAGGATGCTCCCTCCAAAACTTCAGGATAAAGAACTCACCTACACACTGCCTCCTGCCTCAAATCCTGATCCCTGTATTCCCTAGGATGTTTCCCATTCCAGTGTTCCCTACACAGGTGGTTGAGGACAGGCTGATCTATGAGAACCAGCTGATCTCCACCATCGAGGTCCAGGGATCCCCCCGGGGCTCCATCACTCGGGACAGTGTCTACATGTAAGGGAAGAGGGTGGAAAAATCCAGGCAGAGAGCCTGGATTCCCCCTTGGATCAAACCAGCCCTCACTCCTGCTACGGCCGTGGTGGTGTCCCCATAACTTGGGTTGAGGGGGCTGACGGAGGATTTGGGAATCTCCTACCTTTCTCTCCCTCATTTCCTCAGTCTCAAGGCCCAGTGCATCTACAACTCCAGCGACCTCCTTCCCTTGGGAGTGGAGGTGGCCGTGCCCCCCACAGCCACCCCCCTGGCCATGCCAGGCCCTCTGGGGCTCCAGCTGCGGATTGCCACCGGTGAGTGCTCCCCATCCCGCTCCCCATCCCGCTCCCCATCCCGCTCCCCATCCCACTCAACCCCTCCCAACATTCCCACAGACAAATCCTACAGCTCCTACCACCCTGTGGGTGATTTCCCCCTGGTGAGGGTGCTCCGGGACCCCATTTACGTGGAAGTCCGGCTGCTCCAGAAGACAGATCCCAATTTGGTGCTGGTGCTGCACCACTGCTGGGCCTCCCCTGGCTCCCACGCCACATCCCAGCCCCAGTGGCCCATCCTGGTGGAGGGGTGAGTGACAAAGGATGGGAAGATGGGAGTGAGGGGAGGTCACTGTGCTGACACAGCATCCTTGTTTCCCACACAGGTGTCCCTTCCAAGGGGACAACTACAGGACACGGCTGATTCCAATGGGTCCAGCCTCTCCGGAGCTGCCCTTCCCGAGCCACTACCAGCGCTTTGTCATCTCCACCTTCGCCTTTGTGGAGACCCCTGGAATGGCTGTGCTGGAGGGGGAGGTGAGGGGGATCCCCCTGAATCCCTGTGTTGGGAATGTCCAGTGTTGGGAATCCCTCATCCCAATATCCCCAAATCTACCCCAGCGCTGTCCCTGATTCCGGCTGCCCACGGTCTCTTCCTGTTGGGAAGCTCCCTCTGCTTTTGGGAGGTTCCTCAAGGCTTGGGGACCCTTTCTGGGGATCCCCAGGTGATGCTGGCATTCCTGTGGCCCCCAGGTGTACATCTCCTGCAGTGCTTCCGTGTGCCACCTGGCCCAGCCTGAGCCCTGCCGGCCCTCCTGCCAGCTGGGAGTGCCCTCACGTGAGTCTGGGAGCCTCCAGGGATTCGGGAAGACCTCCACGTGTCCCCCCCTTCCCAAGCCAACCTGCAGTTCCCCACAGGGGTGCGGAGGTCTCTGGGAGACAGGACGACAGGTGACAGCATGGGGACAGTCACATCCCAGGGATGCATTGTCTTTCCTGAGGTTCCCAAGAGAGAGGGAACTCAGCATAGAGGCTGAGGGGTGAGTGCCTTCTGCTCCCTAAAAGCCCCTTCATCTCAAACACCCCTTCATCCCTCTAAGTTATTTCCTCCCCCTCTTCCTCCTCACAGCTCCAGACTCTACCTGGATGCCGTTGGATGTCTCCAGGAAAGCTGGAAAAATAAAACTCGTGCAGAGCACAGCTCTAAGGGTGGCTTGTCCTTGGGAGGGGAGGAAAGAGGGTCCCTCATCTCCATTCCCAACTGGCAGCACCACAGCCCCCCAGATCCCACCCTGCTATACCCCAGCCCTTCACAGGAGCCTTTTCCAGCTGGAACGACAGGGAATAATTCTTTATTTCCATACTGAAACTAAGTAACTGCTTACAAAACTGCACAGTCCTCCCTTCCCTCCCTCCTTCCCACACATCCCGGCCTCAAACTTCCACCAGCACCGGGATTGGGATTTTCTGTCAAACCAGTTACAAGCACAAAACAATCTAAAGGTGGAAAACACACAGAATTGGGAAAAAAACTAAACAATAAATTCACGAAGCACGGGGAAGGCAATATCTGACTTCCCTTGTGCCAACAGCTACAACAGGGGAGCTTGATAATCCCACCTTGATATTCCCACCCACCTCCCACCCTGAATCCCATAAAATCCCAGCTTCCAGGGCTACAGGCTGTAGAACTTGAGGCTCCGATCCATGCCTGTGGAAGCGATGAACTTGGCATGGTGGCCAAAGGCCACTCCTGTGGTCAGACCACTGTGCTCTGGGGACGGAAAACAGTCCATGGTCACAATTCCGAGTGGATTTGTCTCATTCCTGCCCCAGCCACTTCCATGATGCCACAATCCCTCACCTGTGAAGTGGAGGATCTCTGTCCACTGCTTGCAGATGTAGATCTGGACATCGGTCCCACCCAGCGCCAGATAGGTCCCGCTCTGGTCGAAAATCAGCGATTTCACCTGTGGAGAAGAATCACAAGGCGTTGAAAAAGCTCCAAATGGCTTTTTTGGGATGCCACAACCCCTGGAGCAGAGACCGTGGGGGGAAAAAGGGACATCACACACCTCGAAGTTGTTATCCAGCTGCAATGTCTTGAAGTTCTTGAGCTTCCTCAAATCCCAGAGCTTGACCGAGGAGTCGTCGGCTGCCGTGGCCAGGTAGTATCCGTTCTCGGAAAAGGCGATGCTGGTGATGGGGCCGGAATGTCCCGGGAAGTTGGCCACGTTGGTGCGTTCCTGGGGACAAGGGGGTCAGAGGGAATCAGCACTGGGATGTGGCATCGTTCCCAACCGACCTGCGCGGTCACGGCATCACCAGCAGCTGCTCTGGAGCTGGAATCTTGGGATTTTTAGAGAAACTTCCAAAAACATTCCTCAAAGTCCTGCTCCTTGGACTGATACCCAAACCAAGCTCAGATCCCCCGAAAAGCCTGTTCTCACACATTCCCATCAACCCTTACCTTCAGATCCCAGATCTTGATTTGGGAATCCATCGTTCCCGTCCCAAAAATGAGCCCGTCCGGGTGGAACTGGGCACAGGTGAGAGCTGCGGAGACAGCGGGAGAATCAGACCCCGGGGGAAGACTCAGAGGGCTGGGAAGACTCCCAAGAGGGCTGGAGAGACTCAGAGGGTTGGGAAGATACGGGGAGCTGGGAATATTCAGAGACTTGAGAACACTCAAGAAGGCTGATGAGATTGGAAGGGTTGGGAAGACTCAGGAAGATTGGGAATGCTACCAAGACCCCTCCAAAGGAGTTCCCATAAACCCCAGGAGCCAAGGGATGTCAATGGGAATACGGGGATCATCAACTCCAAGGCTTACCACATCCAGAGCTCTCATCCGTCACCTTGGTGAGGACACGGCCCGTCTGGATATCTGAGAAAGCCCAGTACTGGGAGAGAGGAAGAGCATTGGACACGGAAGGGATGGGAAACAAAGGTGGGATCTGTGGGATGGGGAGGGATTCACCTGGTCATCTGAGGAGCTGAGCAGGTAATCACCCGTGGCGTGGAGGCTGAGCCCAGTCACGGAGCCCTCGTGGGCACGGACCACCTGGACACAGGAGGCGTTGGGAACGGACCAGATACGGATGGTGGCATCGGGAGAAGCCGAAAACACCAACTCCTATGCAAGGACAACACCAGAAGGTTCACACAGGAAGAATTCACCTCTCCAAGACCTCCCAGCAGGAGATTCCACCAGAGGAGGGTGCTGATATCCAGATTTGAGGCATCCTGGAAGTGAGGAAAGAGCCAGACGCACCTGGGATGGGTGGAAGACGACGCTGGTGACTTTCTTGGTGTGGCCCTTGAGTGTGGCCAGGATCTGCTCTGAGCTCTTGTCGAACACGATGACGTTTTTGTCGGCTCCACCTGGAAAGCCAAGCAGGAAGCGCTGGGATGGGAGTGTAAGGCCAACCAAATCCACCTGCCTTATGTCCCAAAAACACAGAGGAAGAGACCCACTCCCAGGTGGGAAATCCCCAGGAAAGCCCCCTTACCAGTAAGGATCTTGTTGGTGTCAGAAGGACACAGATCCAAGGCAAGAATTCCTGGGATGCTGGCACTGTGCAGCCCCTGTGTGAGGGAGGAGAAGCCCAAATTAATGCCACAAGCAGCGAAACACTCCCAAACGGAATCAAGAAGCAATTCCCAGCTGCACGTGGGAGTTTCCCTGTCCTTTCCCATCCTGGCACTCACCACGTGTGAGGCCACCTGCCGGTACTTGCTGAGCTCCTCTGGCTTCACCAGCTCCTCCGGGACTGTCTTGCCCCTCTGGAAAAAACAGGGACAAAGATCAGCCTTTGCTGGAGCATGGCATATCCCACCTCCCTCAAAATCCTTGGATAAGGCCACTCACCTTCTTACGCTCCGTGGTCAGCACCGTCGCCTTGTCTTGGAGCTGGAAAACAAGAGGAGGGTGGGCACAGACTGGGAATTCTGTGCTGGGAAGATGGGGAGGGGAACACATGGAACACTGCCCTTACCTTCTGGATGATCTCTGGGGTCATTCCCGCCAGCTCTCCCAGATCCATGGCCTCGCCAGCGCCCTGCGTGGCACAGAGAGAAGGGACATGCAGAGAGGGAATTTGGGTGCAGTGAGTGGGAAAAGAGCTGGGAATGAGCAGGAAAAGGGCCGGGATGGGGAGCAGGGACTCACGGCCACGTTGGGCTGCGCTGATGGCACCGCCTGGGGCACGATGAGCCCGGCCTGAGGCTTCAGCGTGGCCAGAGCTGCAAAAACACAAGTTTAAAGGAAAACCGGGATAAAGCACTTCCCAGAGCCCCTTCCCAGGAATATCACGTGTCAGTGTCACCTTCTCTGGCAGCGGTGACCTCCTTGGTGAGGCGGGCGATGACCCTGCAGGCGGCATCGTGCTGGTACAGGGCGTGGGACAGCTCCTGGCGCGTGGTCTGCAGCTGCTGCCGCAGCGTGAAGCTGTGCAGCATCACGGCATCCTGCCGGGAAGCGCTGGAGTCAGCCAGGGAATGCTGGGAGCCCAGCCCTGGCTGTCCCCCCGGCACTCACCCACTCGTCCTGCAGGGCTTTCAGGATGGCCGGGATGCTGGTGGCCGAGGGGGGTTTGGGGCGGATTGGGTGGGCGACTGGAAGAGAGATGGACACGTTATCCCTGTCCTCGAGATCCCCATGGATCCCTGCACTCCCGTGTCTTGCCCTTCCCATTTCACCATCCCTCCTCTACCCCTCTCTTTCCCAGCCTCCACAGCCGAGTCTGGCTCTGTCTCACCCCCAGCTCAGCAAACCCCACTCCCGACCCCGGGAGAAGCGTTTCCGTGCCCGCTCCCGCTCCCGGTACCTTTGATGTCGATGAGCTGCTCCTCAGACAGGGGCTGGTTGTTGACAGGATCGGTGCCGTTCTCCGCGATGTATTTCTCGATCAGCCGCCGCTCGTACACGTGGTTGGACACCGGCGACACACACGGGTGCTCCGGGACCTCGTTGGAAACTGCGGGGGAAAGGCAACGATAGGGTGGGAAGGGAACGGTGGTTTGGGAACCCCCTACCCGGTGAT